GTTTATTGCTGGTTGGCTGACCTTTGACCAGAGACGTCAAAGTCAATTTAATTTTCCTTATCGCTGCTATTTTTTGAAAAAAAAAAAAAAAAAAAAAAAACTTTTGGTTTCTGGTGGTCAGGAATTGCAGATAAATCTTTCGCCTTTTACTAAAGATTTCTGTAATCGGGCGTCAATTTTTTTTAATGATTTAAAAAATGTTGATTTCCTTCAAAATGCTCAATTTTATGCCTGAAACAGTTTATGATTTAGGCTTTCTGATTTAAAAAAAAAAAAAAAAAAAGAAAAAAAAATTAATTTCCCATTAACAGGGAAAATATTTGTTTAGAACTAGAAAAAAATGCAAAATTTACACTATTTTTTTTCACATTTTACCCCCTGAAAAAATTTTTGAGTCATTTACACCAGCCAATTTCATTGGGTTCAGATCAAAAGTTTCCTTGATATTTGTTTAGGTGATGATAAAACAGTCATTTTTCAATATTTTACCTCTAAAATCCATTTTTTGAGAGAAAATAAGCTGTGACAAAATGACTTTTGCCATTTTTGTGATGATTTTTACTTGGGATAGAAAATTTTTACCATAGGAAACCTGAATTGACTATTTAAGTTCAGTGGGGCTATAGGAAACCTCAAATAGCTGTGCTATGAAATTCAAAAACTATGATTTAGGGCAGAGGTCGGCAACCTTTTGCTATATGCCAACTTGGGGTTCTAAAATCATTCAGTGTGCCAACAGCAGATGTATTTTTATACAAATCAAGGTCAATATACCTGTCCTACAATATATATATATATATATATATATATATATATATATATATATATTGTGTGTATTTAGGCAGCATCTTTTCATTCACTTGTCTATATTATTTAATGAAACGTGCATGTATATATATATATACACACACACACACACACTTTAGTATATATTAAAATTGAAACAGTTAAATATCTTCTTTGCTTTGTAGTAGGTATTGGCTTGGACTTCATGACGTCATTTGCAGCTGCGTGCCTTTGGAAATTGCTTGGCGTGCAACATGTTGCCGACCCCTAGTTTAGGGATCAGAGTCACCTTCAGTGGCAGGATAAACTTTTTTTTTGTACAGTATATGAAGTCACATACAGTGATAAAAGTTAACAAAACCTGTATATGTGGAATTAGTTTGTATGTATCAAATTTGTTGTTTTAGCGTCACATGTATACCTCATGGCGTTTATGCTTGCAAGTAATTCTTGAAACGTTCCTGTAATTTAAGTGTCCCAAGAATTGAGTATATCAGTGTATTTTAATGGCATGCTGAACATGAAGAATGTTGGGAGTGAATGTGTAATACAAGTTTACATCATCTGCAAATGTTTGGATTTAATGTTAACATGCAAATTTATCAAATTTCTTTCATTTATGAATTAAGTTTACCCATCCTTTAGATTCTAATCTTAAAATAAATTCGGTTAAACACTATTTATTTATTTATTAAACTGTTGATTTACAAGAATAATTTGGCAAAGTTTAATGAACGTATGTGAAAAAAGGGGGAGTGTACAGTAATTGCAGTGTCAAGAGAAAAATTCTGTGAGTCAGTTTGCATACACATATAAATGATTATTTGAGTTGTCATAATATTTACACCACTTTCTTCTTTTCGCTAGCCTCAGATTGTTTTTACTTTCTTTATGTATTCTTTCTATGAAAAATGCAAAAATATATGTGTATATAATTAAATTAAAGAGAAAAATATTTATAAATTTAACTTTGTTCACTTTTATTTTAGTTTCAGCAGAAAAGCCAAACATTTTAGATGAAGCTAAAATGAAGGTGAAACATAATCCATATGACTAGAAAATTGGAAGTCGAAATGGCTACAAATAAAAGAAAAGAGGAAATGGGGAAAAAGTAGAGATTGGGTTAAGGAATGAGTGCAAAGGAAAAAAAGAACAAAAAAGATAAACAGCCACAGCATTGTACATGTGGGCACATGGGCAAATGCACATACAAACACACCTGTGAACCTGAGTCTCATGGTCAGAATGCAAATGTTCTAACCACTCAGCCATGTGCCCACAACATTCTAACCACTTGACCATGTGCCCATATATATATATATATATATATATATATATATATATATGTGTGTGTGTGTGTGTGTGTGTGTGTGTGTGCGCACACCAGATGCGCATTGTGATGTAATGGATACTGGCTTGGAATGAAATATTGGAAAGAGGAGTTTGAATTCCAGTTGGGTTCATTTTATTCACTTCAGTGCAAATACCCTTGGGAAAGGCATGACTCCATTTCTTCTCTCCCCAGCTTTGGGTTAAATAGCAGGACAGACTAGATTCTATAGCATTGTTAAGCAACCAGTCTAAAATTGAAAGAGACATGATCACCCAAGGATGTAACATGTATGGCACTTTACTGGATTTACTCTTCTTCCTTTGGCTATGTTTTGAGTAACAGGACTGAATGGGCCCTATAGCTTTGGCTGGCAACAAGTCTAGAGTAATGGCAACCTACTGTGAAAATCTTCTGCATTGTGAATTATAAATTGAGATATGATCACCTAAGCAGCGTGTATCATGTATGGCACTTTACTGGCTTTATCTCTTCTTCCCTCAGCTATGGTTTGAATAACAGGACAGAATGTGTCTTATAGCCTTGGTTGGCAACCAGTTTACCACAGAAAGAAATGGCAACCTTATGCTGGAAAATCTTCCACCTAGTCAGTCATGAACTGAAAGAGATGTGATTGCCCAAATGCGTATCAGCAAAAGTGTCCAATTGTTAGATTAAGCTTTGAACCACTTAGAAATGATTAAATATATCTTACTGGAATTCTCTTTATAATACTATTGGACTCTACTTTGAGCAATAAGAATGTATAGTTATTCTCTAAGCTTCACAGAAGTAGTGATTAAATCGATCATAAATGTAAATGACATGTTCATCATTAACTAATCATAGCCAAGGATCGGAAGCTCATGAAGGATTGAAATAATATATATATATATATATATATATATATATATATATATATATACACCCCCAGTAACTTATTCAAGATGATATTCGCCCTCTCTAACTTTCTGTACTGGAGTAACAAGGTGTCTCATGGGTTTCACGTATGATTATAATTTATAATGGAATGGGTAAGACAATCAAAACGCAAACCTATCGGATAATTATTCAGGAATTACAACACACTTTTAACATTGCTGCTATATTGTCAGTTCATCAACACTTAACAAAATTCTTTACTTTTGGATTTAAAATCATCTAACTCTTCATAGGGTTATATCAGGCATGTGCCACAGGCAAAACAGTGATGGAGTTACTCCCTCTTCAGGTTAGTTTTGGATTTTGGATTGGCTGCCCTCCCAAGGCTATAAAAGCTTATTCTGCCTTGCAATTTATTTTATTTATATTTGAAGCAGTCATGGAAAAAATGGATGTATGCTTTTCCTAAGAATGTTAGAAGATAGTAAGCACAACTCAGAATTTCAATCTTTGTATTATATATCAATAAAATCAGGACATATGAGAACACATAATTTTATCTTCGAGTCTTAACAGCACAAACAAATTTCTTTACATGGAGGTTAAGAAAGATGATATCATATTTGTTAGTTACACACAGATTTGTTATTTTTTCAACTTTATTTCAATACAGCAGTGAAAATGTCAAGTATTCTTTCCTGAAGCTTGATGGCTAAGATAGTTAAGCCATTTCCCAATGAAACCTCTGGCTGTTTTTATAAGCCCAAACTAAAGGATTTCAAGCTGGTATTTACATACTTCCCCACAGTGGAAGGAGATGACACAAGGCTGGTTTGGTTTGGTTTGTTTAACGGCATATCAACCTCAATAGGTTATTTAATGCCGACAAGATTTTTAGAATAGATTCATATGAATAGAATATGTATTCTTTGTAAGAAATCAGTTTGTAAGAGATCCGGTTGCATTGACATGTTTTTGTAAAGAGGGCTTTTGTCGAGTGTCTGGTTTGGTTTGGTTTATTTTGTTTTACGGCATATCAACCTCAATGGGTTATTCAATGCCGACAAAATTTTTATTGCTGGTAATATGTTTTTCTTCAAAAATCTATTTCTGTAAATATTTTTCCTTGAAGAAATCGATAGCTGGTCATATTTTTTTTCTCAAAGAATGTATAACTGCTTGTATTGCTGGTATCTTTTTTTTTTTTTTTAAGTATTGCTGATAATAATTTTTCCCTCAAAAATTATTGTTGGTAATAATTTTTTTTTATTACAAAGTATTTCTGGTATTAAAACCTATTTTTACACAAGTTTGGGTGTTAACTATTTGCCCATAGCTGGGAACCTAACAGGTGCTACCACCCCGGGTCAGGGTAGACCTGGGAATAAGAGGTGGTTCCACGTTCCTCGAAACTTCCTGATCAGAGGCCTTGCTGTTGGATGTAGTTTATAGTCTTACCCAGAACGTGACACAAGGCTGGTTTAATATTGAGCACCTATATGCATACATATGGGCTAAGGACAAAAATCACCCAGCACGATGACATTAGTACATACAGACCCTCCTAATTTAATACAATCAGGAAAGAGTTGGCACAAGGTCAGCTTTCCTCAAAGGAAATGGTTTGGTTGATTTTATTTTGCAGCATATCAACCTCAATAGATTATTTAATACTGAAATCTAAAAGACATGCCTGTGTACCTAATCAGCATTTGATTGATTGACTGTTTTCTATGGCTTATCAATTCTTTGCTGCTTATTTAAAGCCAGAAAATATTTTTAGATTGCAAGAAATTTTTTTTTTATTTTGAGATAATAATTGTTTAGTGATAGATGTCCTATTAATTAACCAATAGCTGGGGGGGAGAAGAGGTGGATTCATACCTTTTCCAGAGGTATTCGCGCATAAGTGTATATAATGAACCCAATGGGAATTGGAACTCAGCTCTCTAGTTAACAATTCCAAGCCAATATCCATTATACCACCCACAACATATCTAAGCCTACAGCCCCTGGTATCCCCCAGCAGTCACTCATCTAGGTACTGACCAGGCTCAATGTTTCTTAACTTTGGTGATCATAAAGGAACTGGTGTTTCTCAATTGGTACATCCTGGCACACTAATGCACCCTGAAAGCTAGCCAGGTGCACCCCAAATTAATAGAAGTCTAATTTATTAATTATTTTTATATTTAAGAAAATCTTTATTTTTTAAAAATCTAAGAGACACCAAGCAATGTTAGGTTTTAAAAATAAATGCTTATTTCAGGATACGACTTTGTTATTTTCCTATTTTCAAATTTCATGACTAATTTTTCATTATTAAAAATTTAAGTGCATCCCATAGTTTTAGTTAGTCTACAAATGTGCCCTAAAATGAAAAATGTTGAGAAACACTGCCCTAGATTAAAGAAGGCCTCCACTTTACATTTAAAACATGGAATCATTGTTTTTTTTAATGATAATCCTTTTTTTAAAATAATAAATAATTATGTTCCCTATGTCAGTGTTTAACCATTAACAGTATCCACTTTCAGTTAGATTTCTTTTTTCTGTAGTTTCACCCTGGTTAATGATAGGAGTGTGTTGAAGCAGATTTAGAGAGAATGGATCAGCTGCAACTGATGAATGTTGGCAGTACTTTGTTACAGTAATCTAATAAACAGCACGGGTTATTATGATATTATTATAGAGCCAGGCTAAGTAGAAGTGGTCATCTGAAGTAAAATTATAGTCTAGAACAGTTATTGTTGAAGATAAAATTAACCTTTAACACACTGCATTATTCACAACTTTCCTTTCCACTGCATTGTTTTTCAAGGCTCCTATTGCACTACTTAATTTCAGTCATGGTCACTTTCTGTTGCCATAGCAGGATATGACAACACAACTGCAAAATACGAACATGCTATTTTTTCATTCATCTGAGTCACTTACAGTGGGAGGATAAAATTTTTGCTTTGCAAACAAAATCACTTCCAGAATGTTAAGGGTTAAGGTCAGATAAAGGTATTGGAATTGTGATGTATTGTTACTATTTTGACTTGATGTATTTAAAATTAAGATCATCTTGTGGAATCCTTATTTTAACTATTAACTACTCTCCTTTCAAATGCATTGTTTTTCAAGGCTCTTCTACAGTACTTCTTAATTTTGGTCATGGTCACTTTCTGCTGCCATAGCAGAATATGACAACACAACTGCAAAATACAAACATGCTATTTTTTCATTCATCTGAGTCACTTGCAGCAGCAGAATAAAATTTTTGCTTTACAAACAAAATCACTTCCAGAATGTTAAAGGTCAACCTACAGGAGGTCTGACCTGGCATAATTATTTTTTAATACAAGATCCAAGAGACATTCAGGGTAGAGGATTGATGAATGAGGCTGTTGAAAGGTGTATAAGGATTGAGTGATTTACAATTTATCAACCCTTTGTGGTTTATTTAAAGTTGAAACATATAGTTATAGATAGTAAGAATAATACTTTTTTTGCAAATGAATAATGCATTAAAAATATTTTTTAGAATAACAATTTTTCCAGATATAATTTCTACTATTTAAACCATAGCTTGGCGAAGGAAGAGAAGAGATGAATTTATACCTTTCCCAAGGGTATTTGTGCCTAATGATCTTGACTGGAATTTAAACTCAGCTCTCTGATTTTTCATTTCAAGCTGTTATCCATTATACCAAATATCTTGGAAAGAAACCCACATCAATACAGGAAAGAGCAATAAAAGCTACTGGGCTTGTGAAAACTATTTTATTGAAAAATTTTTGAACAGAAAGATTTGATAGATTTTAACTGAAAGTGGTGATGGCTGTTCGGTTAATGAATGTTGAATGTTTCCTTATCATTACCATTAATATTAACATTTAAAAATTAAATTCCAAGAATTAGTGGATTTCTGAAAACTGTTTTTTGGTGGAATAGGAAATTAAAAAAAAAAAAAGAAAAAAAAAGGAAATCTTGGACATTTAAAAAAAAATTCATGTTTTCTATCTTCACTGTGTGTGTGTGTGCGTGTATATATATATATATATATATACACATACACACACACATACAGAAAAATTACTTAACTGTAAATATCAATTTTGATGTTGTTTCCTTGACTTCAAATTTTCTTGGAATTATCCATTCTTCAAGGGGTTTGCTCTTTGAATAAGTATATATATGTTCATGGGTTTTGCATTTTTTACACGTGCACATTCAATGGATTAAAAAGCACAAAAATGTTTTTAAAAATTGTAATAAACTTATTCAAACATACATGCACACACACACACACACACACACACATATATATATATATATATATAGAGAGAGAGAGAGAGAGAAACTGCAAACATTTTGGTTATAATGTGGATTTGTTTTAGCGTGTATATATCTATATATATATATCATATTTTATTCGTTGTATTTCTGCTACACGGGTTTCTGGTCTCGTGACCTTCTTCAGGCAAATAAAAGGAATAAATTTTCTTTTAATGTCTCATTGTTCATTTTCTGTATTTTTTAGTGAGCCTTAAACTCCTCTCTGAAGTGTTAGCAAAAGTGAATTTTTGTCTAAGTGTTAATAAAGCCATTAGTTTTGGTATGAGAGATGGTGGTAATAGATATGTTGATGAGAGTTAGTCTTATTATTAGGAGTCAATCCAACTTATCATGATTAGTTGTAAATAATTTTTTATTTATGCCATATCCCTGAAGGACATAGGTAATCATAATGCTCCACAGATTCCTTTTCTATATTATCTCTATTAAACCCATGGCTGGGGAGAGGAAATAGATTCATACCTGTCCCAAGAGTATTTGCGCGTAAGTGAATGTAACAAACCTAACTGAAATTTGAACTTGGCTCTCTGATTTCTTATCCACTAGACCACCTGCACCTCAGGATGTCAGAATAGGTGGTGTACCAGTATGGTGATATAGGTAGAAAGAAGTATACCCAGTATTGCTTTTTACTTCAGTCTCCAAAACTAGTTTTGATGTTTTTCTAATATCATATTTATACAGATGCCCATGATAAAGGCATAAACAACACTTTCCTTGAAATCTTGTTTTAAGAAAAACTCATCTTTCCTGCACTATTTCTTACTGTTAAGATGGCTGGCAGTGATGAATCAGTTCACTTTACTCAAGTTAAATATTCCTGTAAAGACTCAATAATCAAAACATCTTTTAATCATTTCAAGCCAAGCAAGGCAATAGAAGCCACTAAGACACAAGTGGTTACTGAGTGAAAAGATAAAAGAAAAACAGTAGTGTATATAATAAAAGAGGAGGAATCAAGAAAACAGTAGATAATGATTGACATTACATTTAAATTTTTGAAGATCAATGTTGGCTGGAAAGCAAATATCCAGAAGAGAGTTCCACAGGTGTGAAGTATGGGAAAAGAAACTGTTAGCAAAGAACTTATGGTTACATCAAGCCAATTCAACTGTAAAATGATGAGACCGTATTGCCAATCTAGTGGTGCGTTTAAATTCTTAAAGCTTAGGTACCATAGAGGAAAGTTCATCAGAAGAATTAATATGAAAGTAGAAAAGGCACAGGGAAGCTACATTACAAGGTGGGAAAGTGACTTAAGCAAGGATGCATATTCTTCTTCAGATTTCATTAACAAATTTGAAATATATAGCAGTTGCGGCAGACTATAAGTCACAGCAACATTTGAAGCATGGACAAATAGGAAAATTGAAAGAAATATACGAAAGAATGAAAGACATTCAGTGAAGCGAAGTATGAAGGAATGAAAGAGACAATCAGTGAAGGTGAATATGACGTAACAAAAAAGACACATTCAGTGAAGGTGAATATGAAAGAATGAAAAAGATACATTCAGTGAAGGTAAGAATGAAAAAGACACATTCAGTGAAGGTAAGAATGAAAAAGACATTCAGTGAAGGTAAGAATGAAAAAAACATTCAGTGAAGGTAAGAATGAAAAAAAAAATTCAGTGAAGGTAAGAATGAAAAAGACATTCAGTGAAGGTAAGAATGAAAAAAAAACATTCAGTGAAGGTAAGAATGAAAAAAAACATTCAGTGAAGGTAAGAATGAAAAAGACACATTCAGTGAAGGTAAGAATGAAAAAGACACATTCAGTGAAGGTAAGAATGAAAAAGACACATTCAGTGAAGGTAAATATGAAGTAACAAAAAAGACACATTCACTGAAGGTGACTATGAAGGATTGAAAAACACACATTCAGTGAAGGTGAATACGAAAGAATGAAAGACACATTCAGTGAAGGTAAGAATGAAAAAAAACATTCAGTGAAGGTAAGAATGAAAAAAAAAACCATTCAGTGAAGGTAAGAATGAAAAAAAAAAACATTCAGTGAAGGTAAGAATGAAAAAAAAAAACATTCAGTGAAGGTAAGAATGAAAAAAAAAAAACATTCAGTGAAGGTAAGAATGAAAAAAAAAAACATTCAGTGAAGGTAAGAATGAAAAAGACACATTCAGTGAAGGTGAATATGAAGGAATGAAAAAGACACATTCACTGAAAGTGAATATGAAGGAATTAAAGATATTGAATATGAAAGAATGAAAGACATTGAATATGAATATAGATAGCAGCCCAATATTAGATGACACTTTTATTAAGAAAAAGTACCATGTGTAAATGAGGGGTGAAAATAGGTAGCCTATAATTTTCTTGAATTGTTCCTGCCTTCTCTCCTACCCAACATTTTGCATGACCCATTTCCCCAGGGCCTTCTTCAGGTGAAGGAACAGGTCTAAATATTGAGAATGAAAAAAAAAAAAAAAAAAAAAAAAAAAAAATGTTGGCAACCCTCCCCACTATTCCTTGTGCTCCCCAACACACACTGAACATAAACATTACAAAATTTCAAACAAAGACTCCTCAGAAAACACTTTACGGCATAAAAAAAATAATCTTTGTAGGAAAAGCTCCTGAATGGCCTTCTGTAATTTGTCTGTCCCTGACACTTCCCATTTCTACCCCAAGTGATTATCTGTTCTAATGAAAATCCTATTATGTATGTATAATGGCCTTCAAATATTAACAATGATTATAATAAAAGTTCAAAGGTGACCAACTATGGTGAGAAAGGTAAGGATTAG